TCCCCTCCCCTCTCCTCTCCTCTCCTCTCCTCTCCTCTCCTCTCCTCTCCTCTCCTCTTCCTTTCAGCTAAGCGGGTCGACGAAGCGAACTTGCGCTGCTTTTCCGACCGGCGGGCGAAGCAGTTCCCGGCCGTGACAGGGGCAGACCCTTTCGCATCACGCCCAGCGAGCGGCCCTTTGGCGCACATCCCCGGCGGCGGCTAGGCCCGCGACGGCGCACCGGGTGCCTTCGTCTTGCTCGCGCTGCTTGCCTTCGAGGGATGCGGTGGTGCTGCTGCGCTCTGCGGCACGAGCCCCCGTGGGGTCTGCCTCGCTCTGGGGGGCGGGCTCTCCGAGCGAGCGCGCGCGAAGGTCCCCCCGCGCGCGCCGGTCTCCTCGGGGTGTCGACCCTCGCTGCAGAGCGCACGCGCCAAGACGATGGCGAGCGCCCTTCGCTGCCAGCTGCCAGCAGATCGCGAGGGGGGAACTTCAGGGAAGGAAGAAATGCCCGTATTGCGGCTCGTCCTGGAGAGCTCTTGATGCCACGGCTGGCTTCTCCTCGGCGTTCTGGTCGGAGCGCACCCCGGTGACCACCCCAGGAGAGGTCTGGGAGGTAGCGGCATCGGTATCTTGTGGCGCCCCCAGAATTCTGCGCTACGCAGCGGGGGTCAGGCAAGCCTGCGCTGGCTCTGCTCTGCCGCCGTGGCGGCATCCCTTCTCTGCCGCGGTTGGGCTGCGGGGTGCCTGCCGGGGTCGGGCTGGCGATCCGTGCGCGCAGGGGTTCAGGCCCAGACATGCTCGCGCCGAGACGCAGATCACGACGGAAGGCTTGTGCCCGTTTTCGGCCTCTGGGGGCCCTCGCCGGGCCTCGGGACCGCCAACAAGTGACTCGGGAGGAAAAACTGGCCCCGGGGAAAGGGTCGGGACTTCAGGGGCCGTGCATCGAAAACATCGGGGCGTCGCATATCTGAGATCGAGGGGCACCGCGGAGCCGCCGCACCACCTCGCAGGGGGGTGGGGGCGCCGCCTAAGGGCGCGCGCTCTCGAGGGCCGCCGTGGGCGATCGGCCCCGGCCCGATCCTCTGAGAGCGTGCGGGCAGGCCCTCGATGCAGACGGCCGAGGGGAGACTGGGCGGGCGCGTGGGCGAGGCGGGCGAGGCGGGCGTCGTGGTGCGCCGTCTTCGGTCCAGCCCACCACTGTGTCTGGGCCCTGGGTTTTTGACCAGAGGCCTCTCAGAGGCCTCCTGGGGGCTGCCGCCGGAGGCCTGCTGGGGGCCTCTTGGCGCTGTCCTGGGGGCCTGCGGGGGTGGGGGGGGGGCGACCATCCCTCGTTCGCCATGGAGCAGAGCTGCCAGCCTCGCGTGCTGTCCGCAGCGGCCCAGAGATCCCTGAGATCTGGAGTCTCGAAAAGATTGCAACACCGTGAAGACTCACGACCGACCCACTCTCTCTGCGCCATTTTTGGAGCCAGACCCCTTTGTGAGGAACCCGGGGCCCGAAACTGGACGAAAACGCCTGGCTCCAAAAAAATGAGACGCCAGGATTTCAGGGGATGCATTGGCGGCGCGGCGCCATCCTCCGACCCCACCCGCTCCGGCCAAAGCTGCGCGGCCTGGACCCCCTGTCTACAGGGCTGGGGAGCAGAAGAGCACCCCGAACCCCCCCTCCCCAGAGGGGTGGGTCACGTGGGCTCGATCAACATCGAGACGCCAGGAGAGGTGCGCGATCGCGCCGCACCAGCACGGGTGCGGCGGCGCAGGCTGGGCGGCGCAGGCGGGCTGTGACCCGCTTGGATCGGGTGTTGCCAGAAGTGCCCCTGCGGCCCGAGGTGCCCCCTCAGGATCTCCATGGAGGCCCCCATGGCCTGGAGAGCACCCCTCGCTAGGCCCACAGGGCCCCAGGGGCTCCAGAGCCGAGCGAAACGCTGGAGGAGGAGGAGGAGGAAGAAGAAGAAGAAGAGGTCCCTCCTCCTCCTCCTCCTCCTCCTCGTCCTCGTCCTCGTCCTCGTCCTCCTCGTCCTCGTCCTCGTCCTCCCCCTCCTCCTCCTCCTCCTCCTCCTCCTCCTCCTCCTCCTTGGGCCAGGGACCCCTGGAACAACCCCCGAGCAGGGGCCCGCTCGCCCCTCCCCCGCCTCATGGCGGTGCGCCTTGGGTCGCCGAGGCCCCCGCCCGCCCCCTCGGCCTCGGCGCGCACTGCCGGGCCCCCCTCCGGGTGCTGGCAGCGGGGTGCCCGCGGGCCGCCGCCAGCTCCTCGGGTCCCACGGTTCACGAGAGTGCTGCCCGAGGCCTGGTGGGATCTGTCAGGAGGATGGCTTCATCAATACATCCAGATGGCACCGTGAAGGAGCGCAATCGGCTGATAGAGTGAGCGGCCACGGCCGCCCCGCGCAGGCCGCTAGCCGGCCCGCCCGCTTGCAGGGACGACTCGCGCGTCGTTCGTTCGTTCGTTCCTCGGGTCCCATCGTCGACGATGCTCGTTCGATGCTCCACCGTAGGCATTCTGGCCCGAAGAGCCTCTCGGGGGGGGGGGCGAGCCTCTTTCTCTTTTCGCTCGAGGCTCGATCCAGAGCAGGTGCGGCCTCGCGTGCCTCAGCCCTCTCGAGACCGCGCTGGTCGCCACGAGGCCAGCGGGTCCAACGGTTTTTGGGCCGTTCTGCGGGCTCCCGGTGCCCTCCACGGGCACTGGGGGCTGCTGTCAGGGCACGGCTCGTGACGAAAAAAGCCGGTCCTGGGGGAAGGCCCGAGAGTCCAGGATCCGTCTCCCGCAGGACCTGCTTGCTTCATCTTTCAGTTCCAAGGGAGAAAAGCCGCTCCGACCCCGATGATTTCGGCGGCGAGCGAGGGGGGGCAGAGAGAAGGAGAAGACCTTCTCAGAAGGCGGCGGGACTTCTCAGAAGCCCTCGCGCCTTCTGAGAAGTTTTTTTTGCGTCTTCGGGGAAGGATTAGGAGACTTTTCACAATGCCGGAGGACTTCCGAGCCTCCCGAGAAGGTCTTCTCCTTCTCATTTCCCCCCCTCGTTCGCCGCCGATAATTGGCTAAACGGTGGATTTTCGGCTCTCCATAAACCCAGACCCCCGATGACATGATTTTTTCCACAACGTCGACCTTCAGAGGCCTCGACCCATTCCCCGGGACTGGTTTTTCATCCTGAGTTGTTTTTTGACGGTCCCGAGGCCCGTTAAGGGTCCTCAGAGCCAGAAGATAGCGAAAAACCTCCCGTCGTATTTTTTTTCACGACGCGAGGGGGTTTGGGGAGGAGGGCAGCTTTTCTGCTCTCTTTACGTCGGCCCTCTCGAGGCCGCGGCGGCCCGATGGGGTGGGCACCCCTGCTCCGCAGACTGCGGCCCTGTTGCCGTCCGGAGCTGCGCCTGTCCCGCCCGGCGCCCACCTCCGCTCGGGTGCAACGTCAGGGAGGGGGGGGGCAGGCAGGGGCCCATCTCTCGGCCACGCGAGGGGGGGGTGGGGAAAGGTTGTTCGCTTTGGACAAAAAAACGCGACGGGAGGTGTTTCGCTGTTGTCGGCCTGCGGGGGCCCTTGCCAGGCCTCGGGGCCGTCAAAAAGCGATTAGGGATGAAAACCGGTCCTTGGGAAGAGGTCCAGACCTCTGGGGGCCGATGTTTTCAACAAATCACGACCGAACGTCGGCCATACGCAGAGGGGTGTGGGGGGAACGCTTCTTAGACCCCCCCTGTTTCTTAGAAGGCGCGGGCCTTCTCTGTAGATGGAGGGCTGGCGCCTTCTAAGAAGCAGCCTCGTTCGAAGAAGCCTTCCCCCCTCCCCCTACCCCCTTGTGCGCGCCGCCAAATTTCGATCCGATCGATCCGATTCGATATCAGCTCTGGCTGGCCCGATTCGATTCCGATTTTCGGGCGCTGTTGTACATCTTGGCGCCGCCGATTCGATTCCCGTGCCGATGCGGCCCGATTCGAACACGTTCCGACCCGATCCAATCTCCCGATTCGACACTGTCTGTTCCTGACAGGCTCAAGGGGGAGCACATCGACTCCCAATCGCCCATGCTTCGCCGATAGGTGCCTGATAGCCCACCCCGCCCAGACACTTGCGGATCGGCTATCGGGGGCCAACCGCAGATCAATCGGCTATGTATCGCCGATTCCAGGTCACTGTTTCCCCCCCTGAGCTAGTTCCCCTCTAACGTTCCCCCTCACTACCTTTCTCCTCTTTACTCCCTTTTCCCCTCCCTCCCTCCCTCCCTCTCTCCCTCCCTTTTCCCCTCCTTCCTTATCGTCGTCTGGGGACTTCCGGAGACCGCAGGAGACCTGTGGGAATCTCGAGGAGTCTGCGGAACCTTCTGGAACCACCGATTCCATTTCGGAAAACACAGGGAAACATATGAAAACTGGCGGAAGTTTGTAACCGCCGCCTTCGCCGTCGCCGTCGCCGTCGCCGTCGCCGTCGCAGTCGCCGCCGCCGCCGTTGTCGTCGTCGTCGTCGTCGTCGTCGTCGTCGTCGTCGTCTTTCGTCGTCGTCGTCGTCTTTCGTCGTTGTCGTCGTCTTTCGTCGGCGTCGAGGCCACGCTGCACTTCATCGTGGAGGGTGTTCGGGCGAAAGCGACGGACATCGCGTTCTTCTGCCGGGAGTACTGGGGAAGGCGCCGATCGGGGCTCGAGAGACGGGAGTCAATGCAAACGGGGGTCAGTCAGAGCACCGGATCCTTGCAGGACTCTGCAGAGCCAGGGGTGCACTGACCCGGGCTTGGGTGCAGGACCCTGCAGGATCCTGCAGGGCCCGACCGACCCTGGCTTGGACTGACCCGGCTCAGTGGGCCCCCGAGCAGAGGGGCCGGCCGGCGACTGCGACGGCGGCGGCGGCGGGCCCAGTGTTTTTGAGGAGCGGGCGGAGGGCGGGGGGGGGGGCAGGAGGGGAGCATCGCAGGAGGGGCAAGAAGGCCTCGGAGGGTGGGGTTGGAACGGGGAGAAGAAGAGGAGTCATAATAATAGAAGTAATATTGATAAGACAGACGGTCATATGAATATTACTAGGACTAATGATATCAAGGGGATAGTAGCAACACGCTAATGATATGGATTTCAATAATTGAAAGAGCGTGTTCTACCGCTGCTGGCGGAAAACCGGGGGGGGGGGTCACTGGGGGTTCCCAACCCGTCCCCCCCCCCCCGAAAACCGGGGGGAGGTCACTACCGGTTCGAACCCCTCCAGTCCATCATGAAAAGGGGGGTGGTCACTACCGGTTCGACCTCCCCCCCCGAAAACCCGAAAACCGGGGGGGGGGGCACTACCGTTTCGACCCCCCCCCCTGCCGCCGGCAAACGATTCCCGCTCTTCGGGACAGTTGGACAATGGTGGGGATGCTGGGACAGTGGTGGGAACGGTGGTGGTGGGGACAGTGGCGCGGGGACAGTGGGACAGTGGTGCGGCCAGTGGTGGGGACGGTGTTGGTGGGGACAGTGGTGAGGGGACAGCGGGACAGTAGTGGGGACAGTGGGACAGTGGTCGGAGGGCACCAACTATACACCAACACCGATCCTGGCCCAGGATCACCCTGGGCCCAGGATCGGTGTATATGCCTTCTTGCGCAAGGCAGGAGGGCGTATACACCGATCCTGGGCCCAGGGTGATCCTGGCCAGGATCGGTGTTGGTGTATAGTTGGTGCCTTCCTAAGTGGTGGGGACGGTAGTGGTGGGGACAGTGGTGAAGGCGGTGGTGAGGACAGTGGTGGGACAGTAGTACAGTGGGGAGAATGGTGGGGAGAGTGGGGACAGTTGGACAGTGATGGGGACAGTGGGGACGGTGGGACAGCACAGTGGGACAGCGGCGGACAGTGGGACAGTGGTGGGTACAGTGGGGACAGTGGGACAGTGGTGGGGACCGTGGGGAGGGTGGGGAGAGTGGGACCGTGATGTGACAATGGTGGGGAGAGTGGGGACAATGAGACACTGGTGGGGGTACTGGTGGGGACAGCGGGGACAGCGGGGACAATGGTGGGAACATTGGGGACAGTGGGACAGTGGTGGGGACGGTGGTGGTGGGGACAGTGGCGTGGGGACAGTGGGAATGTGGGGGAAACAGTGGGACAGTGGAGGGTACAGTGGGGGTGGGAGGGCGGTGGCGAGGACGGCGGCGGGACAATGGGACAGAGGTAGAGTGGGGACAGTGGTGGGGACAATGGGGACAGTGGTGGGAACAGTGGGACAGCTCAGTGGGACAGCGCTGGGGACAGTGAGGACAGTGGGACAGTGGTTGGGGTGGGGAAAGTGGGGAGAGTGGGATCGTGGTGGGAACAGTGGTGGGGACAGTGGGGACATTGCGACAGTGGTGGGGGCACTGGTGGGGACAGTGGGGACGGTGGTGGGAACAGTGGGGACAGTGGTGGTGAGGACAGTGGTGCTGGGGACAGCAGTGGGGGATGTGGTGCGGACGGTGGTAGGGATCCGGGAGTCGTTTGCTGGCGGTGAGCGTGGGGGGAGGGGTTCGAACCAGTAGTGACCCCCCCCGTTTTTCTGGAGGGGGGGGCGGGGGTTCGAACCGTTAGTGACCCCCCCCGGTTTTTTGGAGGGGGGGGGAGGGGTTCGAACCGGTAGTGACCCCTCTCTTGTTTTCTGGGGGCGCCCCCCCGGTTTTCCGGAGGGGGGGGGGGTCAGCGGAGGGGAGGTTTTGCCGGGGGGAAGGGGGGGGGTCCAGCAGGGGGGGGATTTTCGGATCGGGAGGGTGGACCCCCGGGTTCCGGAGGAAGGGGGGGGCATTTTCCACAGTAAAGCGGCGGTGGATCACGCTCTCTCTAATAATTATAAGTGTAAGAGGATTAATAGTGCGAAAGCTAATAGCAGCAATAAGGTGAATATCAATGATATCACTAACAAAATTAAGACGACGAAGAAAACGAATAAGAAGAAGGGAACACAATAAGGACAGGACGAGAAGGAAGAGGAGGAGGAGGACCGGTGTAAACCCAAGACTATTCAACGCTGTTGCAATAAACCTTCCAAGTTCCCTCTTCATAAGCTCCTGTACGGATTTATTCCACTGTGGGAAGAGCCCCGTTGGAAGACAACTGTCTGAAAATCTACGACCGTGCCAAAGCACCAGGGAGTTTAGCGCCGCGAATCAACGTCACCTTTGCGACCTGACGATCCTAAATCGTGCTAGAACGCCCTTTCTGGGACGTGACTGTCGCACCCTGACAATCCTAAACCGTGCCACAAACTACTGCCGGGACGCCAATCATAAAAATCCTGAAGAGCGTAGTAATTTGTTAAAGCGATTGTGAACGGCGCTCAGACGAGAGCAGCATTTTGAAAACGGCCCGTCTTCCAACCGCCAAGATCTTGTAGACTTTTAAGACGAATGTGCGCGGCGCTGAGGCTAGAGCCACACTTTGAAAAGGACTGCCCTCCATCCGTGAAGCTTTTGCAAACTTTCAAGACGAATGTGCGCGGCGCTAAGGCGAGAACCACATCTTAAAAAAGGCTCGCCGTCCATCCGTCAAGCTCTTGCCAACTTTAAGACGAATGTTCGCGTCGGTACCGGGAGAGCCACATTTTGAAAACGGCCCGCCACCAATCCGCGAAACATCTGCAATTTTTTAAGACGAATGTGCGCTGCGCTACGGCGAGATCCATATTTTGAAGACGGCTCGCCCTCTATCCGTGAAGCTGTTGCAAATTATTAGCTCCAGGATCATAGATAGTGGGGAACTCTCAGGCGAAACGCCCGGCCTGCCGTACCAACCCGTCTCGGGGTGCGACAGGGAGGAGTTATCTATAAGGAAGAGGGATGGAGGAGGAGAAGGAGGAGGAGGAGGACCAGTGTAAACCCAAGATTGATCAATGATGCTGGGATGCGCCCTCCCTCCAAGCTTCTTCTTCATAGGCCCCTACAAGCATTCATTTCCGCTGATGGAAGTGCCCAGTCGGGGGACAACCGCATGAATATTTCAAAGCCTGCCAAAACACCATTCCCAGGACTTCAACGCCACGAGTCCTCCTGCGTCTTGACGATCCGGAATCGTACCAGAACATAATTCTTGGGACTCCAACACCGCGAATCAATGTAATTGTTGCGCCCTGACCGTACAGAGCTGTTCCATAACACTATTTCTGGTACGTTGGCCTTTTGAATCCGGGAAATCTTGTAGGATCTTGAAACGAATGCTCGCTGCGCTAAAGCGAGGGCCACATTTTGAAAAGGAGCCGCCCTCAACCCGTGACACTTTTTTGTTGAAAGCGAATGTGCGCGGCGCTAATGCGAGAATCATGTTTGAAAACCACCTGTATTCAACCTGCGAGATTGTGAAGGTCTGACGGCCGGTGCCGCCAACCCTGAAAGACATCGACGACGACCAGGAGGGGGAGGAGGAAGTGAAGGAGGAGGTGGAGGAGGCGGGGATAAGGAGGATGAGGAGGAGGACGAGGAGGAGAAGGAGGAGGAAAAGGACCCCCCCCGTGGGGAGGAGGACTGGAGGAGGACCGGCGTGGGAGAGGGGAAGGGAGGGGGAGGAGGACCCCCAGGGACGGATGCGTATCTGACTCCCCTCCTCCCCCATGGGACTCCTCCTCACCGAGGAGGACCCGAAGAGGACCGGCGCGCCAGAGAAGGACCGGCGTGGAAGAGGAAAACCCCCAGAGGCGATGCGCCCCATCTCCCCCCCCCGGGACCCCCCCCCGCCAGGGAAGGGACAAAAGGAAGGGGCTTCCCTTCGACGTGACTACGACGTGGGTCGATTTCCCTCTATCCCCGGACTCCTCCCCCCAACGACTGGAGAGTGCTCTCTACCTCCCGACGGGGAAGGATGAACAGAAAATGCATCCCGTCGACGGGACCAGATAGACCCCTCGCGCACGCCGACAAGGTCGGCGGATTTTGGTAAATTTTAGGACGAGTATGCGCGGCGGCGATGCGAGAGCCACAGTTTGAACCACCCGTCTTCAATCCGTGAAATTCTTGCACCTTTCTCAAGCGCATGTGCGCGGCGCTACGGAGATAGCCACATTTTGGGAACGATCTTTCAATCTGTGAATCTGTTGACAGTTTCTAAGTTTCAGGCTCATACGTGGTAACGACGTGAGGAGGAGGAGGAGGAGGAGGAGAAGGAGGAGGAGGAGGAGGAGGAGGAGGAGAGGACAGGAGGGAGGAGGAGGAGGAGGAGGAGGAGGAGGAGGAGGAGGAGGAGGAGGAGGAGGGGAGAGGAGGAGGAGGAGGAGGAGGCGGAGGAGGAGGAGGAGGAGGAAGGTAAACGCACAGGGGTATCTTAGGTTGGTCTAGCGCAAAAGGGAGAAGGGAAGGATAAGGAGGAGGAGGAGGAGGGGGGAGGCGGAGGAGGAGGAGGCGGAGGAGGAGGAGGAGGAGGAGGAGGAGGGGGAGGAGTTCGGAGAGAGGAGGAGGAGGAGGGGAGGAGAGGAGGAGAAGGAGGAGAAGGAGGAGGAGGGAGGAGGAGGAGGAGGAGGAGGAGGAGGAGGAGGAGGAGGAGGAGGAGGAGGAGGAGGAGGAGGAGGAGGAGGAGGAGGAGGAGGAGGAGGAGGAGGAGGAGAGGGAGGCAGGGACAGATTGGGGAAAGTGGCTGGGTCAGGTGGTCTCGTGGGGTCCGCGCTGTTACTTGTGATTCTGGGAGGTCGCAGGGATGTCGAGCAGGG